TCTGCGAGTCCCTGGGAGCCGTCGATCTCCACCTGGAGGAGGGGGACTGCGTGAAGAAGTGCGGTACCTTGAACCTGACGCTGGCCACCGAGTCCTGCAGAGAGCACGGGCACGTGGCCATCAAAACCGTGCGGGTACCCGAGGTCAGCGACCTCCGGGCCCTGGTGGAGGACCCGCGGCTGAACTTGAAGGTCATCCAGCTGGTGAGGGACCCCCGGGGGATCCTGGCGTCCCGGAGCGAGACTTTCCGGGACACCTACCGGCTGTGGAGGATCTGGGACGGCACCGGCAGGAAGCCGTACAACCTGGACGTGACCCAGCTTACCACGGTGTGCGAGGACTTCGGGAACTCCGTGTCCACCGGCCTCAACCGGCCGCCGTGGCTCAAGGGCAAGTACATGCTGGTGCGGTACGAAGACCTGGCCAGGAACCCCATGAAAAAGACCGAGGAGATCTACGATTTCCTGGGCATCCCCATGGACAGCAACGTGGAACGCTGGATACAGAACAACACCCGAGGAGACAGGTCCTCCTCCAAACACAAGTACGGGACGGTGCGCAACTCGGCGGCGACGGCGGAGAAGTGGCGGTTCCGGCTGTCCTACGAGATCGTGGCGTTCACCCAGCACGCCTGCCAGCAGGTGCTGGCGCAGCTCGGCTAACAAAACGCCGGCTCCGAGGAGGAGCTGAAGAACCTCTCCATCAGCTTGGTGGAGGAGAGAGACTTCCTGCCCTTCTCCTAAGAAAGCCCCGGGGGGGCCCGGTTTTGATACAGACTGTTTTAACTGTTGCCTTATTTTATTTTCTTTCGTTTTGTTCCCTCCCTTTCCCCCCCCCTTCCTCTCTCTTGTCTTTTTCTCTCCAAAATTTGCACTAAACCTTGAGCGGGAATCTCAACAGAGTCCAGGGGAAGCGATTGCCGCCCCTCAACACCTTTCGGACGCAAGAGGAGTCGGGTCTCCAAGCAAGAGCTAGAACTGTGGATGGGTAACAATGTTTACAAAACACACAAAATGTATAAAGCAACCTTCAAGCTTTCCAAACCGAAGGGTACCTGGGGTACTGTACTTTTGCACTGTTTACTTTTACAATGTAAGAGGTAAATATAAATCTAATTTATGAATGGTGTCATCCCCTCCAGAATAACTCCCCTTGCCCCCGATGAGCAGGTTAGACCGCAAGCCGAACACGGAACAACCTCCTCGTTTTTGATCTCGGTGCGACATGTCTGTCTGTTTAAGTCCTGTTATTGGGCTGGGCAGTTGGTCAGCTGCTCGTACATGGTTGTTTGGTAACACCTGTGATATTTCTTTGTGCCAAAAACCCACAAAAGAGGGGGGGGAAAAA